TAAATATCATTCATCAATCATTCAATTAAAGACTAATAAATTTTATTCTCATATTTCAAAACACTTTTTAGTTTAAATTATCTCCATCTCTGTATACAATGTAAATAGCAAACATTTATATTTTTATTTCTTGCAAACAATGTAAAAGTCTGTTAGATTACCTACAAAAAAAAAAAGATATCTCCAAATTGTGTGTGTGTGCGTGTGTGCATGTTAGATGTAAAAATTTTTATTAATTTATCAATTAGAGATTAGGTATTAATTATTGAATATATGAATACTTACTGAATACATTACACTTACAGAAATACTTATTATCACTATTTATGATTATGTATTATTTTATGATATATCAAACAAAAGCAGATATTTAATATCAACAAAAAAACATTCGATAAAAAATGTGTTCTGTTTATATTAAATTGTCATTTCTCAGTAACTTGTATACTGTAGGATTGTGGCAATAAACAATCCATAAATTATTGATGTTCGCAATATCGTTCATCATTTTTCTTAAGAAGGGATGATAGTTGATTACTGTCATGCGACAAAAAGAATGACAACCAGATTGCTACCTCCGGCATTTATTCCATACCAACCAAAGACCATCGTCTTGATTCAGATAGTGTTTATATAGGCACTACTGTGAGAAGATTGGAACAAAGAATCAAAGAACATAAATACTCTATTAGAAAGAACAACGATAGCACCGTTTTAGCATCTTACACCAACCAGCAAGGAATTGAGGTTATATGGGACCAAGCTTCCATCATTAGACCCACGTCTAACAAGCACTCCATCAGACATCTTGAAAAGCTTGAGATTTATAAAGCCCAAGGGAAACCTTCTTGTATCAATCATAGGGACACCCAGACTCTATCTACAGCATGGAAATCATTTTATGAAGATAAACTGTAATTTTTACGAGGCATTAATTTTTAATGCGATTCTGTCAAGGTTTTTATTTTTATTTTTTATATTCTTATATCCCTATCTTTCTGTATTCATTCCCTTAAGTGCACATCATCACAAATGCATGCGCAGTTATTATTTTTCGTAATTTTAATTTAAGTTCTATTTCTTTAATGTTCTTTTTACTTTATTATTTAACTGATGAAGATCGTTAAAGACGATCGAAAACGTTTTTACGATATTAAATTATTTACTGGAACATTTAAAAAAGTGATAATTTTGCTTAATTGTTAATTTTTATTTTGAAATAGAGAAAATTAAAGCTTTCTAACTTCACAAAAAATTCCATAGCTTTTTCTTATTTAGAAAGAGAAACATTATCTCTATAAACTTATAAATGAATTAGGAAATATCAAATAAAATCCATTATGAAAAAACATTAAATTTAACCATCTAAACTAATTTTACAAAGTTAAAAAATTATAATTAAAAAAGATAATCTTGAGCATTTCCATATACATCCTTAGAAATATATTGTAGAATACACAATAATACAACATAAAAACAAAAAGCAACATTGTTCAGTTGGCTCTAAAAGATCTTACTGTGAATAATTTTTTAAATTCAAATATTTAATTTATTGGATAAATTAAACTTCTAAATCTAATCTTATAAAATATAACTGTTTTTGAAAATTTCACTTTTAAAACAAAGCTTTAAATACAACTTTAAGTTTAAAATAATATAAAATTCTGTTTAACTAATAGGCCTATCATCTCTGTACTTGTAAGAGATTATAAATACACATTCTAGATTCTATTTATTTTTGGTTTTGCTAATTACCTAATTGTCCTCTACTCTTCCATTATTAAATTTTCTACATTTCTTATTAAAAAATTAATTTTTTTGTAGCATTTTATTTTAACTCTGAAAATGAATAGAGAAATGTCCAAAAATATTTAAATTGATAAATTTTTGTCCCCCTGTTAAAATGATGCTGTTTAACTGTTCTTTAATTATTTCCTAAATAATTTTTGCTTACAAAATTCACATTTCAAAAAAAAAAAAAAAAAATTTGGTAAATACATAAATAAGATTTAATAAAATGAAATATGCTACATTTATAGTTTGAAACAAACAATAAATGCAACATCAAATATAATTTTTAATATCATTATATTAGAAAATTTTAATGTATCATTTAAATATTCCATTTAGTATTTTGCACTAATTTCTACATATTAAAGAACAAGTTAACTTACTTAAATTTAAGTTGAAAAGAAAGATTATTTCTTAAACATAATCAAGTAAATTGTTTAAATTTATTACAGTCATTTACTTGCCAAAAAGAAAGCTTGACCTTTATTCCACATAAAAATTACACAAAGCTATGCGTAAACTAGAAACTTGAATAATAAAGTAAAGGACACATCAGATATATGAAAATGCTGAAGGAACTATTAAATCAATATATTTAAACTTCATAAATGACACATCAATCTTTGTCAATATTCTCAAAACTTCAAATACTGTACAGGTGAATTTAAATATGAAAAAAAAATTAAATAAATTTGAGTATAGTTTGAGAAATAGTGAGAAATTTGGGAGATGTGTATTTATTGTATGTAAAAATATTTAGATAATTTTTAATTATTAATAAATCTATTCATTTATTAAAATTGTGCATGTCATACCAGAATAAAAAGAAATAACCATGATTTTTCAATTTTATACAGGAAACATGTTCATTTTTTGTTCACTTAATTTGATTTATTTTAATCATCAGAAATAACTTATCCTTTTATATAAAAATAGCTATGATATATTTAAAGTGAGAATGAATGAATCAATATAGAATATCTTATTTTGCAAGCTTCAATATACAACATGTTACTTTACAAAAGCAGAACACATTAAAATTAACAATATGTTATCTATTTCAATTTATAAAAGTAAAATGAGATAGATAACATACTATAATAAAGCCAAAATTAAATAATACAATAAATGTTAAAGCAAATGATTCTTCTAAATCATCAGATATCAGATAAAAGCAAGAGAAATGGCATTAAAATAAATTAAAAATACTAATAATGTATTAATTTTAACATATAATAACCTTTGAAATTAAATGATAAAATTGTGTTTTTGATGTATTTTCTACCTATATATATATAGCAGTGTCTGTAATCATAGTGCTCATTAATTATGTACAATTTATGAGAGAGTGTGAGATTGAAAAGATTAAATCATTATATTATATACAATAAGGGGACAGAGTTTGAGGCATTGTCTACATGGACTTTCTTTAATGATATCAGTAGCGTATAAATTTGTTCTTACAATAGGGTGACCATATTTTTTTTGGCAAATCTGGTAACACACGTCAATCATCACTTTTTAGGTTACATAGTAGCAGCCTTTGTGTATAACTATTGTCAAATGAGTACTGTACAGTACCTATGCATGGCTGAGACCTAAGCATTTTAATTTTGATTGAGGTCATTCACTTCAATCAAATAGCTCTCCTCAAATAAGGTTTATAATTTTTTACTTCTAATTGTTTTTTACTTTATAACTATAACTTTAAGCACATTTTTAGCTATATTTTTTGTCCTTGTTTTAAAATTTGGCTCTGTTTTGGCATCTCCTCAAAAAAATTGGTTACTTCATAAAAAAGTTATCTGGCAACATGAAGACATTGGACACATCCTCTGGTGGAAAAACTGTGATCATAAGGAAATGAAAAATGGACAATCCTTTCTGGAACAAAATGAGGACTGTCCTTGGAAATAAGAGACAGGCGGTCGGTCACCCTATCTTATAAGCCTATTTACCCTTATAAGCCTATTTACTAGTCATGAATAAACTATCATCTAGAAAATATTTGCAGAACTTTTTAAGTAATTTCTTCAATATCGAAGATCCACAAACCATTGTACATGTAATTAAAGGGAAAGTTTGTTTGTTTGTTTAGTTATGGCAACGCAACACTTGGGCGATCTGCCTAGGAAAATGCCTTCCGGGAGGTCTTTTTAAAGGAAACTGGCCCCTACTTAGGCGTTACAGACATCAGAAAACCTGGAAAACTCCACGTGACCAGCCCGTCCAAGTGAGGAGCAAGCCCACGACCAAACTCCCAGTGTTCAGGGAACAAAGGTCAATTGACCACTGGTGGGCCTAAAGGGAAAGAGACTTGCAGAAGTTCATTAATGTACACAATAGGGAAGTCAAATAGCAGTCAAAAGTGGCTCAAAACTTGTTCAGGTAATTAATTAATGGCCAGTTTCTTAATGACTTCTGATGAAAATCATTAAAAAATGAAAACATCTACATTTGTTTTTCATTAAAATAATGTTTTTCCAAAAAAAAAAAAAAAAAAAANTACTATAAAATTTTTTAAAATATTTGAATTATTCAAATAAGAAATTTTAACAAAAAATTTCAATGCATTACTATTACTTAAATTTATAATTTAAATAAAAATTGAAATTCTAATTACAATAAAATCACTTATATAACAATTTTACTTGTGATTTAGATAATTTATTTCTAAAAAAAAAAAAACATTACAAAATAATAATAATTTCTAGTTAATTCTAAAATTAATATTGATCCTAAGAACATTGTGTTTGGAGTATAACGAGAATATAATTTTTAATCATTTCCTTTTTTAAAAATATTCAATTTTAATTTGTTTACGTACGTTTTACATTAATAATAAAATAAAAAAACAGTTCTTTTAAACTGTTTTATTATTCAAATGAAATTGAAATATTTAACTGTGTAGGCCAATGATGATGCGTTTTACAAAATTAGATATTACTATACAAACAAGTGTAACAGGTATGCATTCAATAGAAATTTGAAGGTAAACTAGGATATTAAAAATGAATCAAAAATTAATTTTAATTTTCTATACTTTCGACTGAGAAAGTAAAACAGAAAAATGAACGACTATAAATGATAAGTTTTAAACACATTCGCGAAAAGGAAGTAATCACAATAAAAGTTCAAGGATGAACATTAATATTTAAAATAATCCTATTAATATTTAAAAAAAAAAAAGAAAGAAAAATTGATATTACCTCATTCATAAGTTGGTGTATAACCATTTCTATCTGAGGTAGTTTATTTATAATCCATAATAACAAAGTAAAGAATTATTTTCTTTCCTACATTCCCTCGCCCATACACTTACATAGCACGTTTGCACGTGCACCATTGATGATAATCTCGATCTCGAACTTCCGTTCGAAATAAAAGCTGCAAAACTCGAACGACAGATGGCGTTAGTTATTATAAATTGTTATATACGGTATAATTAAATACAATAACGAACGTTTAATTTCATTCACAATATTTACATATTAATAATAGGATTTGTTGATAGAAACTTTTGAAAAATAAACTTTAAATCGTGTAATTAAAATCAATAATCAAGCCGTAATATTTATTTTAAAGTGATTAAATATTATTATATAATAATAAGCATATCTACCAAGTAGTTCAAACTAAGATTATCAATCGTCCATTTTTTAATGGAAAGTCCTTTGTTTCGTCTCTATGACCCTTGAAATCTTTTAAATTAAATTAATATATATTCTGAATTTCTCATATTCCANAAAAAATAACTTTTCTATTATTAATTATAACAAATACATAAAATTTATGTGACGCTATCTTTATGAAATTTTGTTATAAAAATTTTTATACAAGTATTTTTAATTGTTATAAAATGGAAAAAGGCTTAATTTTGAGAGTAGCGACGAGTTTCGTAAAAAAAATTGTAAATGCTAATAATGAATAACATCTTCACTAAGTCTGATCCCTCTCGAGATATGACACATGACACCCCTATATCTCCCTAACCTCTTGACCTTTAACCACTAAAACTTAATAGCATTAATGCCCCTTATGCACAAATTACCATGTCAAACTTCGTTTCTTCATAATTACCTCATTCTGAGATAGTAAACGAAATGGAGTCCAACACACATACATATCCACGGAACTTTTTCCCGTTGGTTTGACATTTTTGAATTCAGGAGGTCTCAAAACGTTGAGATTTGCAAAAAACTCGAAACGTAAAACTTCGCACGATTCCAATACTTTCTGTTGTGTATATAAAACAGCCAGAAAAGTAAAGGGGCTTTCTTATTCTTTTCTCTTCCTAAAAGTTTTTCTGTCTTGAGGGCAAGATTTTTTAAAATCAAGTGAACTCGACAATGTATAAATATAAAATACAATACATTAAACATGAAAGTCAAACAAACTGTAACACGAAATTTTTATATGATGTATTTAAACATCTACAGTATTTGGGATCGAGTGAAAACTTCCAACATTTAATACGTATAGTAAGTTGAAAGTTGTCAAACCAGACTTACCACTTTTCAGACAGAGACTGCTTTATTAAGTTAATTATAAATAGTTTATTGTATATTGAAGCCTTGGGCATTTGGTATCCTTTTTATTTTTCTGGCTTTTATATCGAGCAATTATTTATTGTGCATCGTAATAATGCCGGGCTGCAATTTTTAATTATATTCTTAATTTATTCAATTTAAAATATAGTCTATATTTTCCGTCTCAAATTAGTAGTGTCTTGCCCCTGTACATCATACTTTTTCTGATAACAACAGAGTCATACCAGTCATCTATGTAACTCCATTCAGGAAAAAATTTTTTAATTGAATTCACGCGACTTCCGGTCTACGCCAGAAATTCGTATATAGTCAATCGGGTCTCATTCACTAAGTTTTCCACATCTAATCTGAATTTTCATATATTGTTGAGACTAAGTAAGGAACGACAGACAACCAGACAGACAAGAGTGGGAATTTATAGGTTTACAATTTTTTTCAAATTGCAGCCCAACAAGGGAAAGTGTTGGAATCGTGTTAAATTTGATCCTCTGAATTTTTCTGAAATTTCCACGATTTGAGACCCTCTGAACAAAAAAAAAATGTAAAAAAAGAAAAAAATTTCGTGGTGATACAGTATATGTGTATGGTGTGTATATACTGTATTTCGTTCATTATCTTAGGATGGAGTAATGATTAAGAAACGAAATTTCGCATGGTACCTTGTGTATGATGAACATTGATGCTATTAAATTTTGGTGAGTGAAGGTCATGGGGGTGGAAAGATGGAGGGGGTCGTGTGTCATATCTCGAGAGAAGTCAGACTTAATGAACATTTTACTCGTTATTAATATTTACAATGTTTTATAAAACTCATCTCTATCCTCAAGGTTAAGTGTTTTGCCATTTTATAATAATTAATAATATAAAACTTTTTTTAACAAAATATCATAACAGATAACGCCACACATAATTTATGTATTAATAATATTTGACATTTCTGCTGACATGAAATCGAAGAAAAGAAACTTTTAACAAAATACGTAGATTATCACACGTAAAAAACAACAAATTCTCTTTCCCTCCATTCTCCAATTTTTCCATTATCTTTCTTATTCAAATTTATAAAACCTAACTGGCTTCAAGGTTTCAAAATGGTTACGTAGTCTCTTTATTTTTATTTCTTACTAGATCGCCCGTAACCCATTGGATTACCTACTACTTAAAATTTATAAAGAAAGAAGCTCCTCTAATGGGTAATAGCAGCGTTTTATAGATGTGTAACGCCTCTGCATATCTCGTTCTATAGATTTCACCCCGAAGTAATCCGCGGATCATCTCGAACATGAACCTTGGTCTCGCGGGACATAATGAATGCTAATGCTATAACCCGTGGCACGGAAAGACTTTTTGAAATATACGCCAACTAATACTGTATGAAATAAATTTGCATTGAGAACACCGTCTTTAAATGTTATCCATGTTTAATGACGAAAATAAGTGTTCTCGGTGCTAATTTATCTCGCGAACGTTCAGCGTGGTGAAAAACTTCGTTTTAAAAATGTGGCAGTATTTTGCGCCGTTTTTTTCTGTACTTAATTACAATCAAACAATCTCAGAATTTTAGTATCATATAGATTAGAGTTAACACAGTAAATTTAGTTATTTCTTTTATCTCTTCGCATATCTCATACTCCTCTGCTTTCTTTACTTTAAAAGAGTATTGGAATTAATTTCTCTTTATTAAATCTTTGCATGAATTTGTTTCATATCTTAAACATTAAAATAGAGGCACATATCAAGGATATGACTTAAGCCTGTACTTTAGTTTCGTGTATAATATACAGGGTGTCTATAATTATACTTTACGTATTCTGATCAAGTCTGCAGCAAAAGCTGCTTAACGGAATTGCACGAAAATTTCAGTATGTCTTAATGAGGCCATGGGAGGAAAATTCTCGGCAAAAAATTATTTTCAAAAATCACCTCCAAGAGGCGTTTTGTGGATAAACAAGGAATATTTCAATCTGGTCGTACAGCTTACAACACAGGGCGGGGTCGCGTGATCGTGATTAAAGAATTCGAGCCATCCGTGTTACCGGAGGTGTTTCCTCACTGGCATGATATAAAAATATAGGTATTTTGATTTAGCGAAGACTCTTCACGGTGATATAAAACAAAATTAAATCAAATGCATGTCAGAATAAGTACTTCATATTTATGCCGTAATATCAGGAGGGATGATTATTTAATAACTTTTAAATTACTATTTCTAGAAATAATTTTATAAAATTAAAAAAAGAAAAAAACACGTGAGGTGTTGTATGCATTGTAATGTGGGTCTGATGAATTATACACGCTGAATAACTATTTAGTTGACGACTTCAATATTAAATGATACCAAATCTGACCAGGGAAGTTCTTTTGTTTCCTTTAAGTTTTCTCCCTGTTTAATTTAATTAAAATTACTTAAAACAATATCAACTGCATATTTGTGAAATTGAAACACTGTTTAATGGGGCAACGTCTGATGGATCTTGATTCTGGATGTGTTTGAATTTATAACTATAACCGTATATGTTAATATTGTTGTGTTAAGTAAGGACTCTCACCCTAAGTAGAAACCTATTTATAGGATTCAGTAAGTAAACTGGCTGAGAGTCTCTATAGCAATATAAACGTGTGGTTATAATTTTTAAGTAGTATATCTCTAGAAGCCAAGATCCACCAGTAATCTGGACAGTGTAGCTGGAAATAATATGGCGGGATATCAAGAAGTATGCTTGAAACAATTTTCAAATTTACGTCAATTTAAAATTTAAAAATATGAAGTATAGATAAATACTTATGATTAAAAAAAAGTAAATATCTGTCATTAATTGTTCTAATTATATAAAACATTGAAATATTTTTCAAAATTATCATCATTATTATAATTAGTCATTATTATATTTAGAGATTATCTTCAAATAATTGTAAAAAATTAACAGCTGTGTTTTTTAAAAAAACTTAATCCAAATAAATTCTATGTATTATATGCAAACAGTTAAACAAATTTCAGAAACATAAATACATATAGATACACTCGATTATCCGCCCTAATCATCAATAATGGAGTCACAATAATCCGAAAGTCTGTTTTAATAAAAGCTAATTGCTTATTTGTTTTATTTAGTTTTTTAATTTCAGATTAAATTCAACATAATAGTTTATACGTTATGAATAAAATACGTTTTGAGAGCGATAATTAATTAATTAATAAGCTTTAGATATAATCAAAGTTGAATAAAATTTTCGAGGTAAACAGAAAATTCAGAAAAATTTATTGAACAAACGTCTCGCAGTTCACTATAAATTTCTTGTATTATTAACTGAGAATTACAGATTGTTACAGATTGCCGGATAGATATCGTCATAAAACATCATTAACTTTACGATATTAACGATTTATTGATAAGAAAATGATTCAAAATATTTTCTTCAAACAATTTTACAGTGTAATGAAAAAAATAAAAAACAACATACACGGAATGTATTGTTCAAGAATCAACTGAACTTACTGTACTTGTCACGCCATTTAATTTGTCTTGACTTTTTGGTCGTAGTTCCGAAGCTCAATATACCATTTTAAATGGCTAGAGTTACATCCCAATTTTTTTTTATTTTAATGTTAATATTTATACTGCTGACGTAAATTTTTATCGAAACGTAAGCAGACAGGGATAACCGAGAGCATACTGTACTAAAGTATGCTCTCGGTTGTACTTCTAGTAATTCTGCAAAATATCTACAAATAATCTGTACTATGTATGATATTCTGCACACTATTTTTAATGGGGTATATTATTGTAACATTGGTGCTAACCTATAAATACAGTAATAATATTTTAAATCATTTGCTA